CCCCCCCCCCCGCCCCACACACACTCATACATTTTTTTTTCACCACAGTGCCTTGCTGTATAAATGTAAACCATCCCAATCTCCTCGTGCGAAATTCAGTTATCGTGAGTTCTCAAAAATGGTACATAATGTGACATTGAAGGAAAAATGAAATCAAATTCGACATGACCACTTAACACAAACGAGAATTATTCTAGATCTCATGACGAGTACACTGTGTATGTACCTGTAATTTGGTATCAGTCCAGAAAAAAATCTGATAAATGATAATATTCTTTCAATCCAGTTAAAATGTTTTCCCACAGTCTAACAAGAACTTAGAAGATTACCAGGATGCGGGGATTCTATCTTTATGTGTGAATTTCGCTATGTAAAAATATCAGGCTTTATATAAATTCGGGATCTGAAAATCTGTTCGCTATGTGCTTTTTTTCGCTACGTGCGTTGTTTGCTATGTACGTATTCGCTATGTAGGCTCCGTGCTGGAATGCACATGCATTTCTGACCCATCTTACCTTCCGACATCTGCTGGGACAGTTTGGCCTTTATGTCTGCCAGGTGGTTGTAGTCAGCCACGTGATAGTTAAAGTTGGACTTGGGGTCACTGGCAATGGACAGCAGTTCTTTACTGTCCACGCCGTAGCCGATGCCCAGGGTGAACAGGTACACGCCTTCCTTCTTGGCCAGTGTGGCGTTGTCCTGTGTCAGCTGTTTGTGCCTGCACGGACGGAAGCATTACGTTGTTTTTTCGTGAAAATGGTGAAATGGTGTTGATTTTGGTCCATCTGTTTTGCTGTTGTTGTTGCTGTTGCTTTTTAAATAAGTTTTTAGCTATGTGTTTGGGATGTGTGTGGGTTTTTTTCTTCCTTATTTGTTTGTTGTTATTTTTTCGGGGGGGGGGTTAATTTGGTTTGTTTGTTTGTTTTTGTTTTTGTTTTTTTTTGTTTTTGTTTTTTGGGGGGTTTGGGGTTTTTTTAATGCTTAACCAAAGATCCTACAGGGCAATGTACAAGGAAGGAAAAGAAAAGGCGGACAGAAAAAAAAGAGATGGGACGACAACATTAAGGAATGAACGGGTTTAAAGTTGGGTGATGTCCTTCTAAAGGCTGGAAATATAGTAGGATGGAGAAAAGTGGTTGCCCGATTATCCTTGGTGTCCCGACAGTCATCTAGTATCTAGACTAAGGGAGAAGAAGACCTTGTTTTAAAAACAGTGATAGTCTTCAGAGATAGTACTGGTTATAATATAGACTGTTTGAGAGTTTGAGTTTGAGTAAAGAGAAGCACGTCGACATAATAATGGTCATATAGTGCAGGGAAGAAACAAAACAGATAGAAGAATAGAACAGCTATAAAGAAAAGAAGTAGGACCTACCACTGACGCCCTCCAACTACCCGCTCACATTGGCTTAAATAATGAAAGAAATGCTGAATATAAAAATCATTCAAACTATTGAATTTCATGAATTATTATGGAATCATAACGTTGGAGGTGATAGCAGTCGTCTAACACACTGCAACGCTGTAATACATGTAAAACATATATATATATA